ATATATATATAATACAAATACAATGTACATACATTATAAGTCCTTAACATATAGCGTCACATTACGTTATATTACGCAAAATAATATCACAATGTCCGATTTCACTAAACTATACGTATATTATGCATAGAGACACACTCACACATATATTCATAAAATATGAATACCGTAACAATGGCGGCACCTGTTAACAGATCATAAAGTTTGAAACTACCGACGATACGTTTTAACCACAATGGCACATCAAAGGCAGTTGCTAATGACGAGTGTATACAACATCATATTATTACCGACGATACGTTCTAACAGTTGCTAATGACGACTGCTATGTGTATACAACATCATATTATTACCGACGATACGTTCTAACAGTTGCTAATGACGAGTGTATACAACATCATATTATTACCGACGATACGTTCTAACAGTTGCTAATGACGAGTGTATACAACATCATATTATTACCGACGATACGTTCTAACAGTTACTAATGACGAGTGTATACATCATATTATTACCGACGATACGTTCTAACAGTTACTAATGACGAGTGTATACAACATCATATTATTACCGATAAATAATAATTAAAGAAAATGCAAGTTTTAAGAAATTGTTGAATTCGTTAAGCCTTTTCGTATTTGATTCGTGAATTCATTAAGCCTAAATAAGTGACGTCATCATTAAGTTTATGCACTCAAGTTTCTCTATTTTAAGAACTTTGACTGAATACACACTACAGCAAGGACCCCCCCGTAGAAACAAATTAGGGGGGTCAAGTAACTCAAGTTTCTCTACTTTAACATCTTTGACTGAATACACACTACAGCAAGGACCCCCCGTAGAAACAAATTAGGGGGGTCAAGTAACTCAAGTTTGAAAAGATTATGAAATCGAAATACAAATACCTTATGATTTTCCAATAACGTAGAAGAAGAATTTTACATATCTAATAATTTTTGTCTTTTTGAAAATCCAGTGGGGTCCTGGCCCCCTTCCTGCGGGCATCACAGTGTAGGTAAAAAAGATACACCACACTTCCTAGCGTTTTAAATACAGGTCCTTATAATTTAACTCTAGATAAGCAACGTGTTTTCTGATCAACCAAGTAAGGCACTGCTTAACATTACTCATCTTTACAACGTCTTTATTCGTAATTTACGAATTTCTAGCTATGATAATACTGTCTAACTGTTGAAATTGATAATAAGTTAACTTTTGTTGATAATGTGCACGACATTGTTTTCCGGTCTCTTTCGTCACTGTAAGATTCTTACCTCAGGGATAACAGAAAATGTTACATGCTAGCTTGTAAAAGATTTAACACAAATACAAACCAAATAAAATAGCAATAAACAAGGATAATATACTTTTTATAGTTGTGAATGATGTAATATATTAATTGTAAAGAGTACAGTACAATACATACTAGAAGGTATATTACAGAATACGGCGCGGCACATACTGTACAGCATAGTAAAGAATACAGTACGACGTATACTCTAAAGCAGTGCTTCCCAAACTTTTTCAGCTCGCGGCACACTTTTAATGTCCCAAACTTTGTGCGGCACATGTAAATAAGTCCGTATGGCAGGCCTAGTGATAACCTCCCTCACTAAGACAGGCAGAAATTACTGTTATACTGTGTATCAAGGTGAAAATAAATCAAATTTTACAAACTTATTAAATGAATAACAAATTTACATTACTGAATAAAAATTACTTAATAATTGCAAAAATATTACGCGACACACACTTTGGTTTAAAGCAATAGTTTGTTTGTTTGTTTTGAATTTCGCGCAAAGCTACACGAGGGCTATCTGCGCTAGCCGTCCCTAATTTAGCAGTGTAAGACTAGAGGGAAGGCAGCTAGTTATCACCACCCACCGCTAACTCTTGGGCTACTCTTTTACCAACGGATAGTGGGATTGACCGTCACATTATAACGCCCTAACCACCTGGCCATGCCGGGCCTAAAGCAACAGACGTGATAAGGATAATTCGCCTGACCACCAGGAAATTATGTAAGGATTGAGCTGGATATAAAAAACATAACTGAAATTGATTAGAAGACATTAATTAAAACTTCAAGTGTTAAGGATTTAATACACCAGGTAATAACACACAACAAGAAATGCTACTGGCTCAATTTCATTATATATATATATTTTTAATTTTGTCGTTAACGTCTATTTGCCTTTCGTTTTAGAGCAAATCCACATTGGACTATCTGCTGTGTCCACCGCAGGTATCGAACTCCGGATTTTAGCGTTGTAAGTTCGTAAGCTAACCGCTGTCCCATTGGGGGGACTTCCGTTAAGGAATTCAGTGAATTATAGAAAACAATTACAAAAAACCATAATCGGCAAATACCGAATTTATTTCTTACTTTTTACCAATACATAAACTGATTGAAATAATATTACAAATCTATTCATTAATGATATTACGGAAAAAATAACTTCATTCGCCCCGTTTGAGAATAAGTTAATTTTTAATATTAAATTTTTGTAACAGACGTTTAAGTGTTTTTTTGTCTTCAAACTTTTACGTAGTGTTTCACTAAAATGTATGGCCAGTCCTACTCTACAGGTTAGACATTTGGACCTCGTCTGTTGAAACGAAACAGAAAGTAAAACTAATGAAGTATTAGAACGTCCAGAGACATCTGCTGGATGTATGTAGGATATGCTACTTTGGACGTTTAATTATATCTGAGGGAAGGTTGGCAGATATTCTATCAAAATGTTAAAATTGGATGTGCGAGATGAAAACAGACTCATTTACCTCGATTACATTAAAAATGGATTCTAGACGAGAAGTTTGAATTAGGAAATCTGGTGTGACGAATAAAAAACAATGGAAAATCATAGTTGTCAACCCTCATGATTTGGGAGAACATCATGACTGTTTTTTCCTATCGTTCACACTAGATGGCAGCACAAATGATTACCCAGCCAAAGAAGCACAGCTGCAAGAAATAGCCTGCAAGCAGATGCATATCTTGATCGCTTTAGTTATATATGTTTTAAAGTCAGTTTATTTGTAATAGTACGATTATGTCTTCCATAGATACTGTCAACGAACGTACAACAACACTAATGATGTCTGAAGTTTTATGAATAGGCCTAAAATAACTAAATAACTGAAGACATATCTTTGTTAAATATATAGGTAAGCTTGAAATACTCCGAAAATTTTCAATGAATATTCCCCAAACAACGATCAATTTTTAATTTTACACACACACACACACACTCAACTTTATTTATTTGTTTTCTAGAGCAAATCTACACATATTTTGTCCACCACGAGGAATCGAACTCCAGATTTTAGTGTGATAAGTCCGTAAACTTACCGCTGGCCAACCAGTGGACCCAGGGGGATCACAACGACGCTATTCTCTGTCTCTCAAGTTAAAAATAACCTAAACGAGGGGGGGATTGAAGCTTATTATGATATTACATTTTGAAAGGGGTGACCACATAAATCTTTAATTAAATGTCAAGATTGTTGAAAATAATTTACAAGCTAAAGAGCTAATTAGATAACTATTTAAATTAACTGATGATGAACATAGAATTTTTCAATTCTAAACTCTCAAAAACTGAGGGTGGAAAACGCTGTTTTCTTTATGCAAAGCTACACAATGGGCTATTTGCACTCTGTCCACCACAGAGAATCGAACTTAGGATCTTAGCTTTATAAGTCCATAAACGATGGAAACGGACTAGCTCCTATCAAAAAATTCTAACACCAGGTGTCCATCACAAACCCGCTGTATTTTATATCGCTTTAGCACAACAAATTACTGTCGTCTTCTGCTTAGTGAATTGAAAAAAAAGAGAAAAAAAAACATATTAAAGTGAGAAAGTCATATTTTAGTTAACAACTGACGACAATACTTTACATCAAGACGAATACGTTATTTGAAATATCATAAAACAAGTCAAAGTCTTCTGGTTTGTACTGGAAAGACATTTCTCAATTTTGGAGTAATTACATCCATAAAACAAGTCAAAGTCTTCTGGTTTGTACTGGAAAGACATTTCTCAATTTTGGAGTAATTACATCCATAAAACAAGTCAAAGTCTTCTGGTTTCTCTGGAAAGACATTTCTCAATTTTGGAGTAATTACATCAGACATATATGTTCATTTAAAATATAATTCTCTCAGTTTACACGAAGTAAACTTCAAAGCTGGAAAAACAATGGTAATCAAATTAAAATATATTGAGTCAAATATGATTGTTCGGACGCAGTGAATGAATTTTAATCTGTACCGTTGACTTGCCCAGAAGGGTTCCCTAAACTAGAGTCTGAATTTTAGGGGAGGGCATAACAAATACAGAATACTGTTAAGGTACTCAATTTCTATATATTCATTGGTGGGGGTCCTCAATCAGGATGTGAAATGTTCTGAGGGTCCTATACTGAAAGGGTTTTGGAACTCATTAACTAGCTTGCTGGTTCGCCAGTTCTTGTGAGTGATAGTAAAGTTAAATAAAATAAAATGATAATATCCAGCATTAAAAATAAATAATTTTGTGTAGTTAATTCTTACCTAAAAATCTTATTTGTAAATGACTTAAGTAAAATGGATATTAATTACAGTTCATTTAGTTAATCTGATTCACACCATAACAGTTATTTTAGTTAATCTGATTCACACCATAACAGTTATTTTAGTTAATCTGATTCACACCATAACAGTTATTTTAGTTAATCTGATTCACACCATAAGTTATTTTAGTTAATCTGATTCACACCATAACAGTTATTTTAGTTAATCTGATTCACACCATAACAGTTATTTTTCATAGAATGATGATATAAGTAGTACCTCGACCACTAAATACATCTGTCGTATCCCAGCTAGCCTGATAAGCCATGGTATTATAAGAAAGGCCTCGTCGCCATTGGATATAGAATATGTAGTGTGGTTCACGTACTATATAATAAGATATTCTTCTTTGCTTTCATTCATAAGTTCATAGAATTAGATGCCAATCACAATTTTGGATTTAAAAATACTGAACACAAAATGGCATAAGACAAACAATAACTTTCCTGATTCCGTTGTTTTGTTCCATTAAAAGAATAGATCCCCCGTTTAATGTTATTGAGTTTTAATTATCATAAACCAATGAACTCAATCCTTCAAATCTGATTGGACAAGGTACTGTATGTGACAAAGGAATATGGCCAATAAGAGGCATCTGGTTGTAAACGGGTTAATTGGTGGCACACATATTGGCAAGGCGCTGAAGATTATTTTATGTAAAAATCAGGAAGATTCATTGGAATCCACCTCTGCCGGTATGTACGGATATAATGGATACCAGCATAGCATTAGTCTGGAGAAGTCTAATCTGTCTAGTTGGATCTCTACCGTTCCTAGAGGCTGGTTGTGCTCAAAACCTTTTTGTCGTTCCCATACCATTGCCTAGACATAAAGAAACCCATAAAATGTTAAGACTTTTATATTTGAAGAACCTCTAATCATGAATGATTCAAAAAACTTTTCAAAATAAATATACTTCATTTTACTTGTGAGGAATTGTTTGATTATTAATTTGCAAAATAGGTTATCTATGTGGGGCTTACTGAAAGAATTGATCCCCGAATTTTTACTGCAAGCACATGAAGCTTACAGCTGAGCCACTGGAGGACTGTTTCATGAAAAGTCTTTGTCAGGATGAAACAAAATTTAGCATCGAGTGCAAAGTAGGCCTAACGGAAACTGCGCCACTGGAATAAATTTCAGTGCAATCGAATGAAACGTAGGCCTAACATAAACTAAGCCTACTTTAACTTGCTTACACGGCGGATTTTATTTCTAAATTGTTAAAGTTTTGTTCCACACATCAAACTAAGTCATCTAGTATTAAACATAATAATATTTATAATAATATAATACAAAAATAATCCATCCAGATCTACCAAACCATATTTTCTCTTAACCTTTGCAATGTACGTTATATTAAGTCTGCTTAATGTTTTACATTTCAATGCCAAAAATAGTTAAACTTAATAATCCTTACAATGATGTCATTTTCTTTTGAAATCTTAAGTACATTTAGCATTTTAAAAGACGTCCAGCATCAGTCCATTTGGTAGCAGTGAATTTATATAGTCCAGCATCAGTGCATTTGGTATCAGTGAATTTATATGGTCCAGCATCAGTCCATTTGGTAGCAGTAAATATATATAGTCCAGCACCAGTCCATTTGGTAGCATTGAATTTATTTAGTCCCGCATCAGTCCATTTGATAGCAGTGAATTTATATAGTCCAGCATCAGTGCATTTGGTAGCATTGAATTTATATAGTCCAGCATCAGTCCATTTGGTAGCAGCGAAATTCTTTGTGTCATATTTATAGTACATAATAATAATAAAACAAAATATTGAATGTCGCAATTTCTGAATTTTCTTTTTGTACTGGTTTTTTAAAAAAACAAATCAAGATTTATAGAAATTTTAATCAGTTTGTTTCGACATTTTTGGCTTTTTAAGGTTAAACATTATGATGTTAGTACATTCATCTGGTCAAGTATTTCTAACAGCTTTAAAATTCTGAACTTCTTTAAATATTTTGGTTATTTGGGTGAAAGAAAAGTTTTTGATTGTTCTTATTTACATAAAACTCAAAACATGAGCAAAATATTATTCTACTGTAAATCAATAGCATGATTAAAATGGTAAGTTTATATATATTCACTGCTACCAAATGGACTGATGCTGGACTAAATAAATTCACTGCTACCAAATGCACTGATGCTGGACTATATATATTCACTGCTACCAAATGGACTGATGCTGGACTAAATAAATTCACTACTACCAAATGGACTGATACTGGACTAAATAAATTCACTGCTACCAAATGCACTGATGCTGGACTAAATAAATTCATTGCTACCAAATGCACTGATGCGGGACTTAATAAATTCAATGCTACCAAGTGGACTGGTGCTGGGCTATATAAATTCACTGCTACCAAATGGACTGATGCTGGACTAAATAAATTCACTGCTACCAAATGGACTGATGCGGGACTAAATAAATTCACTGCTACCAAATGCACTGATGCTGGACTAAATAAATTCACTGATACCAAATGGACTGGTGCTAGACTATATAAATTCACTGCTACCAAATGGACTGATGCGGGACTAAATAAATTCACTGCTACCAAATGGACTGATGCTGGACTAAATAAATTCACTGCTATCAAATGGACTGATGCTGGACTAAATAAATTCACTGATGCTGGACTAAATAAATTCACCGCTACCAAATGCACTGATGCGGGACTAAATAAATTCACTGCTACCAAATGGATTGATGCGGGACTAAATAAATTCACTGCTACCAAATGGATTGATGCGGGACTATATAAATTCACTGCTACCAAATGGACTGATGCTGGACTATATAAATTCAATGCTACCAAATGGACTGATGCTGGACTAAATAAATTCACTGCTACCAAATGGACTGATGCTGGACTAAATAAATTCACTGCTACCAAATGCACTGATGCTGGACTATATAACTTCAATGCTACCAAATGGACTGATGCTGGATTAAATAAATTCACTGCTACCAAATGGACTGATGCTGGACTAAATAAATTCACTGCTACCAAATGGATTGATGCGGGACTAAATAAATTCACTGCTACCAAATGGATTGATGCGGGACTAAATAAATTCACTGCTACCAAATG